ATGAAAAATACTCACTTCCAAAAGGGACTTGATATAGTGGATGCTATTTTGTAGGCACCATTTGTTGAATTTAGAAATCAGATTCCAAGCAAACTCCTAGGCAACTTTGAGGCTTTCTGGGAGAACCTCATTAATTAAAAAAAAGTTTTAAAAGCTCCATCTAGTATCTAGCAAAATTCTTATTCCAAAGCCTCACTTAGCATTTCCAGTATCACCTCAATCATTCCTGTAATATGACTTTGGGGTTTATAAGACAAAAGTATTTAACAATTTAATTCATAATGTATCATCTTTTCCTCAAATAAGATCAGGTAAAATTTTCTATAATTACCGAAAATACAAAAATGCATTATGTGCAGTGCTATTTTTAAAAGTTAATTAAAAAATATTGTTAAAAATTAAAAGTTTAAAAACTAAGAATGAAATATAAATAATAAACTTAATTGATTTTCCTTTTACTAAGCACTCTGTAAATGCTTTATCATTTAATCTTTATAAACTGCTCTTCTAAACAGTAGGCAATAGACTCTGGCATTTACACTGGATATCTAAACTGGAGAGAGAAGAGGGTATAGATGGCATATAAGGCCACAATATTGGATGAGCTCACCAGGGGGATGAGTGTAGGTAGAAAAGAGAAGAGGACCAAGGATTGAGTTCTAGGGAACATTGATTCCAAGAGGTCAAAAGGAAAGAAGATGAACCTGCCACAAACAATGAGGAATTATAGCCAATGAGGTCAGAGAACAACCAGAAAAGTGTTGTCCTGGACCTCAGGTGTGTATGTGACAACTTGACTGGACCACGGGGTCGCCAAATATTTGCCTAAATCTTATTTCAAGGTGTGTATTTGAGGGTGTTTCTGGATGAAATTAACATTTGAATCCATGGACTCAGCGAAGCAGTTTGCCCTCCTCAGGGTGGGTGGTCATCAACCAATCCCTTTGAGAGTCTGAATAGAATGAAAAGGTGGAAGAAGAATTTATCCCTTCCTATCTGAAGGACTGAGCTGAGACATGGATCTTCTTCTGCCTTCTGCATTACAATTCTCGGGTATTCAGACCCCAACTGGAAACTATATCATTGGCTTCTCAGGTTCTTGAACCTTTCTACTTGAATTTACACCATGGGCTTTCCTGGGACTCCAGCTTGGAAACACCACCAGATCAGATGACTTCTCAGCCTCCACAATTGCATGAGCCACTTCCTTAGAATAATTCCCTTCCTGTATATATATCCTATCAGTTTTGTTTCTCTAGAGAACCCCAAATAATACACGAGGAAAGTACTTCTAGGTGGAGGGAGTGATCAACTCTGCAGAAATTAGGAATGGGTCATTAAGAGAGGACTGTGAGACAGGCATCTGATTAGAAATATTGATGTCATTGTTACCTTGAGCAGAACAGCTCCATGTTACTAGAAGCTGTGTAAGCTTGATTGAAGTATGAATCAGAGAGAATGGGAGGAGAGGAATTGAGGACAGTAAGTGTAGACAACTTTCTACAGGAGGTTTCTTTGCTTTCAAGAAGAGGATAAATGGCCATAAAGATAGGAGAGAAGGAGGGAGGGAGGGAGGAAGAGAGAGAGAGAGAGAGAGAGAGAGAGAGAGAACCTCGACTAATACACTTGAGAAGGAACAAGCCTGTTGTTGAAGTAAAAGTGTATGATGACATGAGGTACGTCAATAAAGAGGGGGCAGTGTGTTCACAGGAATGCAGACAATCAGAGTCACAAAACAGGACTTTCATAAATAATTAACCGGCAGTTATCAAAGGTTGTGGCAGGCAGAATTCTAAAACTGGTCTCCAGATATTTCCCAGCACAATGCCAGGACTGTGAACAAGAGGAGTTATCACTTGCACATGTGTGTTGGTTTACGTGGCTAAAGGGATTTTGTAGATATAATTAAGGTCACTAAACTGTGGGCCTTAAAACAGGGAGATTACCCTGGATTACCCAAAAGAGCCTAATGTAATCAAGGAGCCTTTTAAAGGAGACAGTTCTCTCTGTCTAGCAGCAGCAGCGGCAGGAGAAGCAAGAGAAGTTGGAAGCACACGAAGAACTCGGCACCACACTGCTTCCTTGAAGATGGAGGGAACCACATGACGGGAAATACAGGCAGCCTCTGGAATCTGAGAGCAGCCCCCCCACACACACCCACAAGGATGTGGGGTCTGTCCTGCCACCACACGAGTTGCACCTGCTAGCCACCTCAAAGAGCTGCGAGGCAGCTTCCCCCAGAGCCTCCAGGTAAGACCCCGCCAAGCTGACACCTTGATTTCAGCCTCAGGAGACCCTACAGAGAACTCACGTGATCCATGCCCCACCTCTGCCCCGTGGAAACTGTGAAATAATAAATGTGTTGATTTAAGCCACCAAATGTGTGGCAATTAGCTATGCAGCAACAGAAAACCAACATTTACATTATCAGTGTATTCTCTGTTATTCAACAACCTACTGGACAGGAGGAGGAATAATTTCTGGCCCAGCATAACCACGTGTGGCTCTGAGGTGCAAATTAAAATAAGTGCTGTGGGAGGCACAGTGCAGAGAATTCTAAATGGGGTGCAGTGAAGATTCACTGCAATATGGGGGCCAGACCAAGGCTCGAAGTGGGACAGCAGCAAAAAAGGCTACTTTCTGGGAAGCCGGTGCCATGCTCAGGCAGTGTGCACAGCCTGGACGCTGGAGCTGCCCAGTCTGTCCCTGACCTTTATTTTTTTTAAATATATTTCATGGATTTTTTACAGAGAGGAAGGGAGAAGGAGAGGGATAGAGAGTTAGAAACATCGATGAGAGAGAAACATCGATTCAGCTGCCTCTTGCACGCCCCCTACTGGGGATGTGCCCACAACCGGGGTACATGCCCTTGACCAGAATCGAACCTGGGACCCTTCAGTCCGAAGGCCGACACTCTATCCACTGAGCCAAACCGCTTAGGGCTGTCCCTGACCTTTAGATAAGAGAGGACTTTCAGTTCCAAGGTTCTCTGTGGGGCAGCAACAGACAAACACAGCCAGGGGACTTGCAGGTAGTGGCTCTGAATTACATTGAAATAAATCATTATGCAAAGGGTCTGATGTCATAGACATTCTTTGAGGCTTTAGAGTCAGACAGACTGGCTCCAATACCCTATATCCTAGCTGAGTTCCAGAATTCTAGTTTATTAATGCAGTGTGTGTGTGTGAGAAACACCCCCTTGATACACAAATTTGACAAATCTTTACAGACCACTGGGGTTAAGATCCACCTGCTAATCAGCTTGAATGATCCCTCTAACCCCGGAGCCTACTACAGTGCCTGGAACACAGAGAATTTCTCACTACATCCCAGCCCCCTATATTCAATAGCTTCAAGTACCTATGCATTGCTGACTTCCTGGCTTCATGATCAGTGTAGGCCTGTCTAATAATCTCTCAATTGTCTGAAATTCCCTCACACTGGGAGAACTCTGAAAATTCCTCTAGTCTTTGCAAATACAGTGATGATGCAAAAAAATATCATTTAAAAATTGATGAATACAAGACTGAAAATTCCATTAACTGTCTTGGAGAAAATCATAAGTATTCAGGAATATGAGATCAAGTCTGTGAGCCCCGAAACTATGGAATTTTCAGGGACAGCCACGCATGGTCAGAGTCACAAGGACTCGGTTCCCCTGATCTGACTCCTGCTCCTATTGCCTCTATTCTCTCTCCGTCCAATTCTGTCTCCTCTTCCACATTACCTCTCTTGCAGGCAAATGTACCCTGTGGAGACTTGTAATTCATAAATTACATTCCACTCTTTCGTTTGCCTTCCTATGAGATAAAGAGTAGAACCGTGTTGTGTTTGCTGTTTGCACGTCCTGTGTGAAGTCCCCTGCAGAAAACACGGGAGGTGTTGCGGAAGGTCAGTTGAGTTCATTTATTTCCTATGGAATCATGGACAGCAAGGCACCCACTGCCACTCTGATGGCAGTTCAGTCCCTGTGTTCCCTGGAGGCACTACATGCGTGGCTTCTCCATGTCAGGTGCCACGAAAACCCTTGCAGACATTAGGTGCTGGAGGGCTAGGAATCTGGCTCATTTGTCCATGTGCTTCTACATCACACACTTTCAGCACACAACGTGGCTTAAAGCAACTACTCCCAGGACTTAGTCATGCATATGTCTTTCCTTACCTGACACCCCCAACTCTAATGTTATTGTAAACTCAGTATTTTATGTAAGGGAGAAGAATTACTTCTTGTGACTAAAGCTCCAAAAATACAACAGTGATATAGTAAAGGAATGGAACTTTTAAATTTACATTGGTAATTGTCAAAAGCACGACTTTTTCTTTTCTTTCTTTATGTGAGGTATGTTGACCAAAAAGGCAATAATTGTGACAGCAGTTCTTCTAAGTCCCATCTCTGCAACTTCCTAGCTGTGTGACCAGGACCAAGTTACCTATCCCCCTGAGCCTTCATGTCCTCCCCTGTGAAACTGGAAGAATGGCATGTATGTCATAAGGATGTTATGAAAATTACTGGTGAGATATATATATCCCTGAAACATGGTAGACTCCCATAGATTTTTTATCATCTCTTCTGATGTTGCAGTTCAAGAATCAAACAAAACCAAACAAACAGGATTCCTTTACAAGCACACTGGGAACTGCACCATCAGAAAGTTCGCCCCGAGCAACAAGGCAAGGATATTACCTGAACCCATTTCTGATACCAAACATCACTGTACGTGCGTGGTCCTCTTTCTCTAAGGAACCTGTGGAATGTGTGCAACAGTGTGGTAACCCTGAAAAACCTGTTTTGCCTCTGAGGGAGCGGGTCTCATGGTGCCTGGGCCTGTGGGAGCACCGTGTCTTGATAAGTAAGCTATGTCCCCTCCTAGGCTGCGTTGATATCTCTGAGGAAGGGAAGGGCATCCTGCCAAGAACAGGGAAACTAGCTCTGCAACCAAGGACCCTCCTCAGGATCCACAATCATCGAGAGGCACAAAGGAGCTGTAAATAGCACTTACCGCCATCATTCACAGGGACCCTGAGCGGTCACCTTCCCTGTGTCACGGCAGAAATCAGGGTGGAAGACACCAACCTTTGTCCAAAGGGGCTGGGGAGATCCCTGGGATGAAGAGCTTCTAAGAGGCTGGAGACGGGATGAAAATGCCGGACAGCTGCATCTGTGAACAAAAGAAAGGGAATAAGACAGGACTGCTGGGGGAAGCGATGGGGGGCCTGGCCACACGGCAGCCCTTGCAGAGAGCGAGCATCCAGGAGCCCTGAGCGTGCACCTCATGTGGCTGCCTACCAGCTGTCAGAGCCTGGCAGCTTAGAGAATGTCATTGATCTCAACATTCTCCCTCATAAAAATGGAAATGGAAACATTTCCTATGAGCGTTTTTATTGGGATTAAATGAAAGATGATGAAGTGCCCAGAGTAGGTACCCATCATTAGGTGTACTATTACTTAACATTAATCTCAACTTTTACTTCAATTACTTCGTTCCATTGTTTGGCTTTCATTGTGTTTAATTATGTAAATGTGCTTTATTCTCAAGGATGCTTTCATTTCCACAAAATATAATGAAACATTAGATGTAAATATAGTACAAGTTTGCCCAACTCAACAAGGCAAGGATACTCCCTCTGAGATGGAAGCAGGTGTGGGTGAGCAGCATTCCCGGCAGATGGATTAGCTAGAGCAAAGGTCCTGAGGAGGGATCCGCAGACAGTGGATCAGATTCTGGCTCTGAAATGTGTCCCCGCTGACCTGGCTGGTGTGCCTCAGTGGGTGGGAGCTCCGCCTGTCCACGGAAAGGTGGCAGGTTCAATTCCCTGTCAGGGCACATACCCAGGTTGTGGGTTTGATCCCTGATCGGAATGCATATAGGAGGTAACCAATCAATGTTTCTCTCTCACATAGAGGTTTCTCTCTCTCTCCTTCTCCTCTCTCTAAAATCCATAAAAAACATATCCTCAGGTGAGCATTTAAAGAAGCTTCCCAGCTGACTAGCAGGGTTTGCACGGCAGCTGACACACGCAGGGTGCTGACACAGATGGCACCTACAGGAAACACTACCGTCTGGAAGCAGAAATGTTTTCTCTATTACTGTCACTTACTCATTCCACAAATATTCAGCAGTGTCTGTCCAGTTGTATCAGAAAGTGTCCTGGAAGGGGGCTGACAGAGACCAATGAAACAAGGCCCTTGTCCTCAAGGCTGTCGCAATGCAGTGGGGGAGACAGACTCTTCCTCACATCAACAGATACTGTCCGGCTGACTCCAGTGTGTGCTCAGCAAAGTTCTGGGCTGCTTGAGATACACCAGCGAACAAGGGACAATGATCCCTAAGATCAGGGAGCTTGTATTCAAGCAGGGGCTATGGGGGAGGCGAGAGATAAGCAATGCACATAACAAAGAAGTAAAGAACATAGTCAGCTAGCTGGTGAGTGGCATACCAGACAGACAATTTAGGCCAAGGTAAAGGGATAAGGAACATGGGGGTGGGGTGGGGGTGGGGAGAGGATGCCTGCACTTAGCAATATGAAAGATGGAGGCCTGGGCAGGTCTCTGTGAGCAGGTGAGGGCTCAGCCAGCCTTAATGGAGGGAGCATGTTAGTCAGGCCGATGTGAGTGAGGAGCATTCCAGGCAGATGGAGTAGCTAGAGCTGAGGTGCTGAGAAGGGAGCCAGGCTGACAAGATCCGGACTGTAGCAGTCCAGGTGAGTCGGGGGTGAGTGGCTGAAGGGGACAATCCTAACGGCAAAGTCAAAGAGGAAACAGGGCCCAGGTCTTGCAGGCCTTGAAGAGCTGAGTGAGGATTCACACTTGACTCTGATGCAGGACCGAGAAGCACTGGGCAGGGTTTCAGTGCTGAATTAGAAATCTACAGAGGGCACAGCACCAGGGCAAAGAGAACACCGCAGTCAGGGAACCTGAGGGAGTGAACGAGGAATCGGCACGCGCTGCCTCTTGGAGACAGTGGGCTAGACATCCTCCATCACCTGGACGAGACATCCCTCCATCTTTGTGTCCACACCGTTGACTGCACATCGGTGCCGTTACTCATATAATCACACATTAGAAATCCGGTATCCAGCCTGAGATTCATCAACTAATCTGGAGAAAAACTGGGGAGGTATATTTTGTTGGATCGCGTTGTCGTTGACAATGTAGTTACCTAGTATGACCCACTATGCATCCACTTCTGTGGTTCAGGAGAAACATAGACAAAAAGAAGCAAAGAACCTGGGGAAATGTGGAGAGGGATTTGAGACTCACCCTACCAAGCCTCCCCAAGTGAAAAGATAGGCACAGAGCTACCTACAGTCACTCCTCTTTCACTTTGAATCTCCCATGAACACAGACCAGGTACAATGATAACAGTCCTCTGTGATCCATGTGGCCTCTGTCATGCTCCTGCCCTCTGTCAATACCCAGGACAATGCTGCTCATGACACCGTCTCTTTCCACTCTGCCTGCTCCGTCCTAACTCAGAAAAAAATGCAGAAATACACAACCCAACCTGGTTGGTCTCAGAGCAGAACCTCTTATCTTTAGACCAGTGGTTCTCAACCTTCTGGCCCTTTAAATATAGTTCCTCATGTTGTGACCCAACCATAAATTATTTTCGTTGCTACTTCATAACTGCAATGTTGCTACTGTTATGAATCATAATGTAAATATCTGATATGCAGGATGGTCTTAGGGGACCCTTGTGAAAGGGCTGTTCGACCGCCAAAGGGGTCGCGACCCACAGGTTGAGAACCGATGCTTTAGACCATGACATAGAAGCTATGCTCTCCTGGGAGCCTGCGTATCCTAGGGAGGAAGGAATGGGAGAGGAGGAAGTCTGTGCCAAAGCCATCACACGCACTGTGCATCTCAGCAGCTCAGAACAGATGGGAAATATGTCCTAGTGAATGCGAGAGGATGGCTTTGGAGTCAGGCAGACCAAGGTGACAATCTCAGCTCCATCCTTACTGCCTGCCTTACTTAACCCATCTCACCCTGTTTCTTTTTTTAAAATACATTTTATTGATTTTTTACAGAGAGGAAGGGAGTGGTATAGAGAGTTAGAAACATCGATGAGAGAGAAACATCGATCAGCTGCCTCCTGCACATCCCCTACTGGGGATGTGCCCGCAACCAAGGTACATGCCCTTGATCGGAATCAAACCGGAGAACCAGAGACCCTCCAGTCCGCAGGCTGACGCTCTATCCACTGAGCAAAACCAGCCAGGGCTCAGCCTGTTTCTTAATCTGCTTAAGGGGGATCTTGATACTCATTTTCCAAGTTTGTGGGTAAAAACATATTTAGTGCATAAAATAATGCAGAACATCAATAAATTACAATCAGTGCTAGGAGTGATGGCAAAATAGAGTATCTTCTTTTCTGTATCACTTATTCCATTTCATGCCTGCGGGGGGATTTAACTGGGAGTTGTTAAGTAACATCTCAAGATGACACACATAATTGCTGGGAGTGAGATAGGCATTCAGGTGTTCTTTTCGCTATATTGTGCAAGAGAAGAACATCCACATGGGAAAATTAACTTTCTTTGAACTCAGTGACTCTGAACAAATGAACACCTCACCCAAGGACTCAACTCTGAATGCCATCAAAGAATGTCACACAAAAAAAACATAGCTCTCGATGAAAATAATACTTTTGACAAGACCTGGTGATATTGTGACTGCACAGGCTAGAGAGGCATGAAGACCCATTGAAGTGCAAACTCTAAGCCATCTGTTCTATGAAATGCAAATAATAACTGCCTCCTTAAGGTTCAATTGTCTGTCAGTTAAAAAGGACACAGTGCTCAACACAGGGCCTGGCACATAGACTATTCATAGGAAATATTACCTGTCCAGACCTAGAAGAACTTTCCAAAAATTCATCTGGAATAAAAAAAAGACCCTGAATAGCTGCAGTGATCCTAAGAAAGAAGAACAAAATAGGAGGGATCTCAATACCACATATCAAGCTGTATTCTAAAGCCACTGTTCTCAAAACAGACTGGTATCGGCACAAGAACAGACATAGATCAATGGAATAGAACAGAGAACCCAGAAATCGACCCAAACCACTATGCTCAATTAATATTCGACAAAGGAGGCAAGAACATACAATGGAGTCAAGACAGTCTCTTCAATAAATGCTGTTGGGAAAATTGGACAGATACATGCAAAAAAATTAAACTGGACCACCGACTTACACTATACACAAAAATAAACTCAAAATGGATAAAAGACTTAAACGTAAGATGGGAAACCATAAAAATACTAGAGGAATCCACAGGCAGCGAAATCGCAAACATATGCCGAAGGAATTTCTTCACTGATGCTGCTCCTAGCCAATGGAAACTAAAGAGAAAATAAAAAAAAAGGACTACATCAAAATAAAAAGCTTTTGCACAGCAAAGGAAACCATCAACAGAACAAGAATAAAGCCCACTGCATGGGAGAACATATTTGCAAATGTTATCACTGATAAGGGTTTAATCTCCAACATTTACAGGGAACTCATATAACTTAACAAAAGGAAGATAAACAACCCAATCAAAAAATGGGCAACGGACATAAATACATACTTTTGGAAAGAAGACAGAAGAAAGGCCAAAAGACATATGAAAACATGTTCAAAGTAACTAATCATCTAGAGATGCAAATCAAAATGACAATGCGGTACCATCTCACACCTGTCAGAATGGCTATCATCAACAAATCAACAAATGACAAGTGCTGGCAAGGATGCAGAGAAAAAGGAACCCTCGTGCACTGCTGGTGGGAATGCAGACTGGTGCAGCCACTGTGGAGAACAGTATGGAGTTGCCTCAAAAAACTAAAAATAGAACTCCCATTTGACCCAGTGATCCCACTTCTAGGAATATATCCCAAGAAACCAGAAACACCAATCAGAAAGGATATATGCACCCCTATGTTCATAGCAGCACAATTCACCATAGCTAAGATTTGGAAACAGCCTAAGTGCCCATCAGCAGATGAGTGGATTAAAAAACAGTGGTACATCTACACGATGGAATACTACACTGCAGTATAAAAGAAGGGATTCTTACCATTTGCAACACCATGGATGGAACTGGGGAGCATTATGCTAAGTGAAGTAAGCCAGTCAGAGAAAGATAAATATCACAGGATCTCACTCATTTGTGGAATATAATGAACAACATAAACTGATGAACAAAAACAGATCCAGAGACAGAGAAGCATGGATCAGATCATCAAACCTCAGAGGGAAGGTAGGGGAGGGTGGGGGTAAGGGAGAGAGATCAACCAAGGATTTGTATGCATGCATGTAGGCCTAACCAATGGACACAGACACAAGGTGGGTGAGGGCATGAGTGGGGGCGTTGGGGAATAATGGGGGTATAAGGACACATATGTAATAGCTTAATCAATAAAGAAATTTTAGAAAAGAGCGATAATAAAACTCCTTGTCTAAATAAAAAAAAATATTACCTGTCTTAACCTCATCCCTTTTCCTTCGGACTCCAGGGAAAGCCCCATGTCAAGCTCTTCAAGCAGAGGTGAAATTTCTACTCTAAAAATGCTCTCTCTTTATTTCTGTTGGATATAGATGGGTGGCAGTTAATAGTTGTATCAGCTAGCTTTTGATGTATAACACACCAGCCCCCTCCCCCATTTAGTGACTTTAAACAAGAGCCGACTCCTGCCCTCACAAGTCTGCGGCGCAGCACTGTTAGCTGGGCTCAGCAGGGTGCTCCTTCTGCTGTGCTCTCTCAGGAGGCGTCCTCATGCATCTGTGGTCAGTGCCCTGTCCGCTCAGTGGCTCTGCTGGGGGTGGCTCATGCTCTGGGATGGTCTCGCTCACATTTCTGGCATTTGGTTCAGGCAGCTGGGTGAAGGGCATGCGAGGGCCATGGGTCTCTCATCGCCCACCTAGCCCCAGCTTCTTCATATTTTCGTCATCTTGTTTGAGGAGTGCAAGCACTTGTTAATTCTCAGCTAGCTTCACGTTTGCCATTGCCCCACTGGACAAAGGGAGGTCCATCTGCCCTGCCAAGGACGACGTGGGAGGAGACGCAGGCACAGAAAGCAGTTCTTATTGTAACAGGTTACTATTACAGCGGTTCATCAAATGACCTTGTGCATCATTGGAGAAATACTAACTGTGGACAAACCAGGTGGTAGAAGGCTAGTCTCTCAGAAATGATTTTCACCGCTCTTTAGAAAAGGTCACAACCATCTTCCCTATTATTCTAATGGGCAAATGGTAAACATGTTTTATGAAATTCTGGGGACAAAAAACTAATTTCAAATTTTCCTGGGCATTGTCCTGAACCGGTAAGTTGTGGCTCTCTTTATCCAGGAACATGCTATGTATGTCTTTGCCAGTAGGAATGCCATATTATAATGCTGCTATTCCTCTCCCTTCCAACAGGCATGCCCCCAGCAGAGGCATATTGCATAGGCATAATCTCATGTAGAAGTAACAGAATAAACTAGAAAATGGCCCCTCTGGTGAGACAGCAGATAGGACCTGGTATCGTGAAGTAGACTTGGGATGTGGCTGGGGCCTGGTTGGACCACTCCTCCGCCCAGACATCAGCCCTGTCTCCCGCCTTAGCTACAGGTCCTTCAGATTTATTCAAACCACCGTCCAAAGCTGAGTACAAGTTTATCATTTCCTACTACGATGTCCTAACCCTATTTTTAGGATCCCATGGTAAAATCTATTTTGGGGTGGTTGATATTGCTACTGTGAATGTCATTTCCCCATTCTAATTTTATAAATATTTTTATTGATTTATAGACAAAGAGGAAGGGAGAGGGAGATAAGCATCAATCCAATCAGCTGCCTCCTGCAAGCCCCCTACCCGGGACTGAGCCTGCAACCCTGGCATATGCCCTGTCTGGGAACTGAACTGGCAAATTTTCACTGCATGGGATGATGCCCAACCACATGCGCCACCCCGGCCAGGGTTCCCTGTGCCAAATTTACAGATGATTATTGCTGGCATACATGAAAGATCTTGGTATTTTAAACATTACTATTTCATTCTACCGCTTAAAGGAATTTATATATACACCATTTCTTAGTTGTTTTCCAAGAACATATTCATAACATCTGCAAAGATGATGACAATTTTGCCGTCTTAACCAAAACGACAGACTTTTTTCTCTTTACAATCTCCTTACACTGGAAAGAACACTAAAACAACATTTAACGCTCTTGGTGATAAAAGGTATATTTGCTTAGGTCCTGACTGTACTAGTTTTTTTCTAGTGGTTTCACATCACTTGTGTACTTGTGAGCATGGACACACTGAGGGGACAGCCTGCTAAAACCCATTTTCTTCATTTGTTTTTAATCTTGGGTGTTTCATTCCTTCATATGTTCCTGATCACCTGTGGATCACTAAAACATGGTCAGTACCAGTTGTGTCTTTATTGGTTGAAGTCATTCTCTTTATGTCTCCATTTAATCATTTTCTCCATATACGACCCATACCTTTGTATCATATTATGCTCTAGATCAGTGATGGCAAACCTATGACACGCGTGTCAGAGGTGACACACGAACTCATTTTTTTGGTTGATTTTTCTTTGTTAAATGGCACTTAAATATATAAAATAAATATCAAAAATATGTCTTTGTTTTACTATGGTTGCAAATATCAAAAAATTTCTGTATGTGACACGGCACCAGAGTTAAGTTAGGGTTTTTCAAAATGCTGACACACCGAGCTCAAAAGGTTCGCCATCACTGCTCTAGATACTGCGGATGTGTGTTGCCACTGGGAACAGGATCACTTCATGAGCTATTCTGGGTATAAATGGGGTGGTGCAGACCCTGGGAAGCTGAACTAACTTGTTATTTAAACATTGGACTGTATGTTTCACAACTACTTTCCATTTACATCTCAGTCCATTTTCGCTGGAATAAGGAATTATTTCAGTGGAGGAGTGAGGTCTGGGGGATCTTACTTGCCTGGTGCCAGCAGTGTCCCTGGTAAGGGGGAGACCAAGATGCACTAAGTTGCCATGTCGCAAAGGTTGAGGGACAGCAGAGGTCTTCTCCATGAGGCTCCTACGCCTGCTAGAGCAGGAAAGCAATACAGAAACTAAGCAGGTGAGGGAAAGCTTTAGGTCAGGGGTCCTCAAACTACGGCCTGCAGGCCACATGCAAATACAAATATTGTATTTGTTCCCGTTTTGTTTTTTTACTTCAAAATAAGATATGTGCAGTGTGCATAGGAATTTGTTCATAGGTTTTTTTAAACTATAGTCCGGCCCTCCAACGGTCTGAGGGACAGTGAACTGGCCCCCTGTTTAAAAAGTTTGAGGACCCCTGCTTTAGGTTGTTGAATGTTGGGCTGGAGGTGGGGGCCACTGCTGGGCCTAGCCTAGAGGGTGGGACGAGCAAACAGAGAGCTGCCAGAGCACCACGTGGCCTTGCTGCAGCCCCATGCCAGGAGGCTGCTAAAAATCACAGTGTAGACTATGAAGGGGTTCCCTTAGGCATGTGTTCCAAAACCCCCACCAGCACTTACCAATGAGAGAGAGAAGGGTGGAGGGTGTGGAGAGGGGAGATCCTTGGGTGTCATAAAACACTAGGTGGGGTGTTCCTCCAGCTGTTGGGGGACGTGAGGCAAATGCAAGTGGGGGGGGGGGGCTGACTGATGAAGACACGAGGAACAGGGGAGGTGAGATGTCAACAGGGGTTGCCGAAAAGCGTCCAGGTATGGGCTGTGCCAAGGTGCCTGGCAGGGGGAAGAACCTGTGAAAGAAAGAAAACCGCATGACATGACTCAGCAGAGATTAGGCAAGACTCTG